TCAGTGGTTAAAAACACTGTTCTAGCAGAAGACCTAGGTTCAATTTCAAATCTACATAGTAGCTCATAATTATTCATGACCCCAGTTTCTGAGGAGCCAATGTCTTCTTCTAACCTCCAGATATACATAAAGACAGGCAAACATATATACACCCATAAAAATAAATTTAAAACAAATTTTTGTTCAACAAGATGAGGACAAGATGGCTCAGCAGTAAAGGTGCTTGTCTCCAAGCCTTGATGACCTGAGTTCTATGCCCAGGACCCACACGGTGGAAGGAGAGAACCAACTTCAATTTGTCCTCTGACCTACACACACACAAACACGCGCGCGCGCGCACACACACACACACACACACACACACACACACACACACACACACACACAGTACATGCATTTTTTATTTAAAAAAAAAAAAAGATGGCTGGCCTCCTGAGGAACAACAGCCAAGGTTGTCCTCTGGTGTACACACGTTACTACTTTTTATTGTTATTATTATTCATTCAGAGAAAAACACAACCATGATGTTTAGTACATAAAGCCCTGGTCCCGACCTGCCTTTGAAACACACAGGTCACACAGAGGTCCTCCGGTCCAGCACCCCATCAGAAGCCTGCCACTGGGCTTGGGTGGCAGGAAGCCAGTGGCATTGCCTAATCTGTCTGAGATTGGGAGCAGAAAGAGCTGACTTTGTACACAGACCTCAGCATTGCTTACTGTGGGCATCTCAGGTAAAGTCTGCGTTTGCTTCACGTAGATTGTGGACACAGCCGATAAGACAGGAATGGGATTTGCTGAACACAAGTTCAATGTTGGGAGCTGCAGAGGCTGCTCAGGGGTTAAGAGCACTTGCTGTTACACTTGTAGAGGACCTGGGTTCCAGCACAACACAGTCTCCAACACTAGTCCCAGGAGGTCTGGTGCATTCTTCTGGCCTCCATGGGCACTAGACATGTATGTGGTGCGCGTGCGCGCGCGCACACACACACACACACACACACGCTAAGCACTCATACACATAAAAATAATCATAGTGGGGTGGGGGAGCTGGAGAGATGGCTCAGTGGTTAAGATCACTGTCCACTCTTCCAGAGAACCCAGGTTTAATTCCAAACATCTGCATGGTGGCTCACAAACATCTGTAACCCTAGTCCCAAGGGATCTGAGGGTACCAGGTACACACATGGTACACAGACACACATGCAGAAAAAACACATGCATAAAATTAATTAATTAAAAAAATTTAAATTTGATGGTGCTGATGAAATGGCTTTTAGGTAAAGGTACTTGCCACCAAGCCTGACAACTAGAGTCTAATCCATTAGACTCACAGTAAAATGAAAGAGCCAGCTCCTGCAAGTTGTTCTCTGCCCTCTGTGCAGGTGTTGAATGTGTGTGCCTGCACACACTGTTGGGTAGTAATTACCTCCCAACTGGAACATGCCATCTGGGAGAGAAGCTTGTTGAGACTCAGGAAGTTCTAAAGGGAAGCTGGTTGAAACCCACTGAGCAACTCATGAGTCTCAGGAAGCCCCTGAAATGGACCAGATTCACAAAAGCCCTCCTTCCCCAAGCTTGTAGAACCAGATTAAGGAATGCGGAGAAGTATGTCGACCTGCCTACAAGTCCTGCAGTGAGCTCCAGGGGTCAGTCTTCATGATCCCTCACTCATGCTGGGGTGGGCTTCAGAGAGGCTGCTGCTCCTGTAAGTCACCCCTCCCCATGTAACTCCCCAATAAACCCAATTGTTAGTCAGGTTGGACCTTGGTGGTAGTGGTACTTTGGTCTGTTGTTGGTTCCCTATCTGGGGTGAGCAGACATTAGCTGACATCTTCCCAGGAATAGTATCACAGTGTACACACACACACACACACACACACACACACACACACACACACACACATCACAGCACACACACAGACTCACAAGTAATTTAAAAAATTAAATGTCATGACTGCCTGCCAAGAACTGGAAAATAAAATCACATGTAACCCTGTTAGTCATTATCATGTATCTTTGTCATATGTTTGTACACACACATTCATATGTGTAGGGATACATGTGCATGTGCCACAGGTTAACCTTAGTAGTCCCTCCTCATGGAACCCAGCTTGTATTTTAATACAGGGCATCTCACCAGCCTGGATCTCACCTATTAGCTAAGCTGACTGGTCAGCAAGGTCCACCAAACTGAGGTTTACATGGGTTCCGAGGACTGAACTCATCCAATCCTCAGGCTTGCACAGCAAATACTTTCCTGACTCAGCCATCTCCCCAGCCCCTACTTATCTTATTTATAATGCAAAATGGAACGGGAAGTCTCAGTAAAAAGGTACCAGGAGGTTCCCGAGCAGAACTACAGCTGCAATTACACCAGCACAGTCAACCAGACATTGTCTCAGCCGCCCATGTCAAGGCCTCGCACAAGGGTAGCCGTGCTATTTACAGACAGCAAGTTCACGAAAAGAGCCAGAAAATGGCTCAACGGGTAAAAGCGCTTGCCACCAAGCCTGATGATCAGTGACTTTAATTCCCACAAACTGTCCTCTGACCTCTCTACATGTACACCTTGGCAATTGTGCACATGCAAGTATGCTCATGTGCGTGCGCGTGCATGCACACACACACACACACACACACACACACACACACGCATGCACGCACGCATATGCATACACACACACTTGAAGAATTTAACAGCAGGAAAGTCCTTTCATGCCAGTAAATTAACACAAGAAAACATAGTTATATTGTCTTTTTTGCTTACATATGTGGTGTCTGGGTGTTCACCAAGCGTCTCCCTCTCTCTACCTTGTATATTGAGATGGACCTCTCCATAAACTCAGACCTGGCTATTTTAGCTAGTCTGGCTAGCCAGCTTGCTCTGGGCACCTGACCCGTCTCCACCTCCTGCAACCTGGGATTACAGGCAGCCAGAGCAGCCATGCCCACTGGGCTCTTATGTGGGTTCTAGGGATCTGAACTCCAGTCATTCTGCTTGCACAGCAAACATTTACCTGCTAGGCCACCGCTCCAGGCCCAGGTTGTCACTTTTCCTGCCTACAGACAACCTAATTTTCCTGAGCCAGCACACACATGCCAAATGGGGTTCACCTTGCCCTTGCTGTGCTAGCTGTCAATCTGGCAGTCTGGAGTCCCCCGGGAAGTTTCAATTAGCCACAGTTTAGATCCGATTGGCCTGCAGTCTTATCTGTGGGGAACTGTCTCGATCACACATGAATTGACATGGGAAGATGCAGGGGAATCTGGGCCTGTGCTGAATGAGGAGGCTGAGCACAACAGGCACAAGCAGGCATGCATCTGTTTTTGTTGTTTTTCAAGTCAGGGATTCGAGATTGACTGTCCCGGAACTCACTCTGTAGACCAGGCTGGCCTCAAAAACTCAGAGATCCACCTGGCACTTGCTCTTTATTTTTTAAGATTTGTAAAAAATCTCACGTGTGTGCGTGCACGTGTATGTGTGTAGTAAGGTACTTGGAAAAGCCAAAAAAGGCCATTGGATCCCCTGGAGCTAGTTGGGGGTGATTTCAAACCAACATGGGAGGTGGGACCCAAACTCTGCTCCTCTGAGAGCAGCTCTCAACCACTAAATCACCTCTCCAGCCCTCTCATTTTGACTGGGTGATGCAACCAACACTGCTTCAAGCTCCTACTGGGACTTCCCCACAGTAAGTGACTATAACCTGGAGCCATGAGCTAAAAGAAATCCTTTTTCCCCTAAGGGTTTGGGGGGTTTTTTTTTGGTCAAGTTATATGATCACTGCAACAGAAATGAAACTAGAAGAGTTGGTATTCACGCCCCTCAATGTCTCGGATGATGAGAATCCAATGACTGGAGGACAGGGACTACTCACTCTCTAAGGTGAGTGGGAAATGCAACTCAGAGCAAGAAGCTGACAGGGCTAAAACCCTACCCTGAATCCCAGCACTCGGGGAGCAAAGGCAGTCATATCTAAGTCGGAGGCCAGCCCTGTCTACATAGTGAGACCTTATCTTAAAAACACAACAAAACCCTCAGAAGATCCAGGACTCATGGGCTATTCACAGGCTCTGAAGAGCAAGTTCCCCCTCTAAGATGTGAATCCTACAAGCTCAGAGATTTCTTAAAATGTTATTTACATGTATATGTGTCTGTGTGGGGGTATGTACTTGTGTACAGAGGCCAGAAGAGGTTGTCCGATCCCCTGGAGCTGGAGTAACAGGAAGTACTGATCCATTCAATGTGGGTGCTGGGAATCAAACTCTTGTCTTCTGTAAGAGCAGTACGTACTCTTAATGGCTGAACAATCTCTCCAGCCTGCAAAGATTTATCTTTAATTATGTTCACATTCATGGGAGATCTGTATATATAAGTGAAGGTACCCAAAGAGGCTAGAAGACAGAAGCCTAGAAGAGTGTGTTGGGTCCCCTGGAGCTGCAGTTACAGCCTGGTGTGAGCTGCCAGAACCAAACCTGGGTCCTCTGCAAGAGTAGCAACTCCCTTATCCACTGAACCATCTCTCCAACCCAAGCTCAGAGACAGTCCCTGTTTGACTGACTGACACATCCTAATTTTACAGAACACTCCTGCCACACTGTAAACCTCAATGCTTACAGGATGAATGAGATGAGAACCAAGAGGGCCAGTCTGGTGGAGCAGAGGTGGAGTTCCAGATACTCCAGAGGATGGAGCCTGAGGATTCAAGGCTTGCATGACCTACAAAATAATTCCAAGGCCAGCCTAAACAACTCATCAAAACCTTGCCTCAAAATTAACTTTTAAAAAGGGGGAGGGGTATAGTTGGGGATACAGCTCAGCGGCACGATACTTGCCTCAGTATGTGTTAGGCCACAGGTTCAACCTCCACACCACATACACACACCCCTCACTCTCACTCTCTCAGAGGTACTACATACCCTAAAGTGCCTTCAAATATAGGGCATTAACACTGGTTTGTCTTTCAGATTAATCGTCAGGTATTTTCAGGGAAGCCACTAACTGCCTTAAAATATTTTCACGTTTATTCAATGATCAGTAGCAAAATATTAATTTCCTAGTAGCTGTGGTTACAGTGCAAGGAGTAATGGGAGGGGGGAGACTTTACAGATGAGGGTAAAATGTTCTAGTCCACGACAGTAAGGCTGCCAAGAAAGCAAAATAAACAAGACTGCATGAGAGAAGTCCCCACCTGAGGTGGGGGCATATGAGACCCCACACGGGACAGGCTGGCACAGCAGTGTGCCCAGGTTCTGATGTGGCACTTGAAACATGTGCTTTGGGGTACTTACAAGCTACTGCTCCGGCTTGGCTCACAAGCGCCAAGATCTCACTGGTCCAAATCACCACGGGAGTCTCAGAGCCAAGAACACAATAGGTGCTTAATATTTGCAAATGAAAAAGACAGAGGCAGGGCAGGCCAGAGCTAATAACTCGCAGGCAAGATAGAGCTCTCTAAAAATTGAGCTTCAAGGCTGGACACATACCTCAGTCAGTAGAGTACCCCACCTAGCATGCACAAAGCCCTGGTTTCATATCCAGCATAGCATGAACCAGGCATGGTGGCACATTCCTGTCACCTCAGCACTGGGAAGATGGGGGCTGGAGGATCAGAAGTTCAAGACCATCTTCAGCTACAGAGCTAGTGTGAAACCAATTTAGATAATATGAGGCCTTACCTCAAAAAGGAGAGAAAAAGAGCTTCAAGCTGCCAATATGCAACAAAATTCTGCCATCACCTCCAAACTTGCTCAGGAGGTGGGTTCCCAAACCCCACTGTGGAAGAAAAAAAACAAAAACTGAAGCTCAGGATTGTGTTCCCTACAACAGGTGAAGGAAACTGGTCCCTCTGGAAGCTCTCCATGCACCAGGCTGCCCTCCTCTTGCTGGAGCCCACTCTGCTGTCCCTCACTGGGCACCGCCAGGCCATCTGTCACAACAAAGTCGCCCCGGAGGCAGAGCCAGCTCACTGCACCGGGGGCTCCTGGCGATGCTGGGTCTTCTGGTGCCGGTTGAGGATGGACCTTTGGTTGAAGCTGCGGCCGCAGGCGGGGCAGTGGTAGGGCTTCTCGCCTGTGTGGATCCTCTGGTGCCGCACCAGCCGCTCCCCCTTGCTGAAGCGCTTGCCGCACACCTGGCAGCCGTAGGGCTTCTCCCCAGTGTGCGCGCGCCGGTGCACTGCCAGGTTGGCGTTCCTGCTGAAGCTCTTGCCGCACTCGCAGGTGTAGGGCTTCTCCCCAGTGTGTGTCCTGCGGTGCACCAGCAGGTGCTGCCTGCGGCTGAAGCCCTTCCAGCAGTCCGAGCACTTGTAGGGTTTCTCCCCCGTGTGGCTGCGCTGGTGCACCTCCAGGTGATGCCTCTGGCTGAAAGTCTTCCAGCACTCGCCGCACACATAGGGCCTCTTGCCCAGGTGGGTCCTCTGATGCTTAGTGAGGTACTCCCTCAGGGTGAAACCTTTCCCGCACTCAACGCAGCCAAAGGACTTCTCCTCTTCATGGGTTCGCTGGTGCCTGACAAGGTTGGAGCTGCGACTAAAGCCTTTCCCACACTCAGGGCACTGGAAAGGCTTCCAGAAAGAACTGTGGGTATTGAGGGCATCTGGCAGGGGGACCCCATGCTGAGGAACGGGGAGCCCAGGTAAACTGGCCCCAGAGGCCCCAGGCTCCTGCTCACAGGCACCCCCTGGGCCAGGAACCTGGATGGCAGTTTCTCCAAACCCATCGGAAGTCAACCCAACAAATGCTCTTTTCAGGTCTTCCTGCTGGGGTTTGGCCTCCTTGTCCTTGTTCCCAGCACCTGTGTGGCAAAGGAGGTCAACACTGGGGTGATGTTCCAGCACAGACCCCCCCCCCCAACTGCTGCTCTCCTGCATGCCCAGGAGTCAGGTGCCACCTCGACTTTCTGTCTCTGTCCCTTTTTCTCTGCTAGCTCTAGAGAGCTGCTGTGACCTGTAGCAACCCTAGCCTCTCTCCCACCTGCAGATGTGAGCAAGACCAGCTCCTTCCGTAAACAGGCAGACAGAGTCAAATTCCTGTACTAACTTTACACTCTTATCCAGGGCCTCCTGCATGCCAGGGGCCATGTGGCCTAGGTCAAGTTTCCCACCACCATCCCCCACACCGAGAAAAAACAAACTTACTTCTTTGTGGGGATCTGAGAGGAACCAAGAGACCTACAGGCTGCCATCTCTCCTCTCTAGGCCCCCATGGCTGCCTATGCTTTCAGGCTCCATCATGTTGTCTATGGCTCTCTGTAATGCTGCTCCTCCTCAGACCTGAAGGCCAGCTGCTCTCCCACTGGGACGCTGTGGCCCTGCTGGAAAGGCATGTCTGAAAGGAGCCTCCTCTTACTTCCTTGCTGCCTTCCTCTCTTTCTAATAGTGACCACCAAAGGAACTTCATGGAACTTCTCTCCAAATGCATCTCTTTATCTTGGTGGTGGTGATGGTTTGGCTTGCTGAGATAGGGTCTCACTCTGTAACTCAGGCTGGCCTTGAACTCGTGCAGTCCTGAAGGGGGGAGTCACAGGCCTGCATAACCATGGCCAGCTTCCTAGTTTGTCCTATTAACGGCTCCTCATTTCCTTTGGTCAACAACCCCAACCAACACCTTTCACATCCATGAACCCTGAACTCTGACATTTTTTTACTCCTTACCACCTCCCTGCCCTGACACTGGATTGCATGACAGATTTTAATATCCTCCCACTTAACGTTCTGCTAATTCAGACTTTTTTACTTCCTTCAAAATCTAACTCAGTGGGGCGGGAAAGAGAGCTCACTGGTTAAGACCACTTGTGCAGCCAGAGGACCTGAGTTCAGATCCCAGCAAGCATAGAACAAGCCCAGTGCAGTCTCACGCATGCCTGTAACACCACCATTGTGGGTTGCAGAGACAGGAAGATCACTAGGACTGTCCGTCTAGCTGAAAAAGTCAAGCTCCAGGTTTAGAGAGAGACCCTGTCTCAAAGGAATAAGGCAGAGTGACAAGGGAGAAACCGGATACTCTATTCCTTCCTCTGGGCATGAGCAAATCTACTCGGTGATTTCTATGAAGAGCACACCTGGTGATTCTCTTCCCCTGGCCTCTTTTACATTGATGTAGTCAGTTAGCCCTCACTCATGCTACACGTATGACCGTCGCGCGTGCGCGCGCGCGCGCGCGCACACACACACACACACACACACATACACATGAACACACACACTGCATTTTCTCACCCAGCACACTCTCTGTCCCAACACAAAGCTGCCACATGGGGCCTGCATGCAAGGAGTGTTCAGTAAGCACCTGCTGGATGAACCAGAGCAAACGCTCCTCTTCTCCTTTCCTTTCTCTCCAGCCTTCGATGCCCATTAGTCATGGGAACACTTCTCCAAGACCGGCCCACACTCTCCACACTGCCCTGTCAGCAGCACCATGGCTAGGGTAAGACTCTTAAACTGCAGCTATCAAAACTCCTCCTTTCTCACCTGTGCAGAGACAGTCTTACCTGGAAGGACCCCACAGTCCTGTGATTCCACATACTCCCCAAAGCAGTCGATCTGAGCTGGGGCCACGTGCCTCCATTCCTCTTCAGGAAAAGCCAGAGTCATGTCTTTAAATGGCCCCAGACCCTGAAACAACAGATTGCTGTAGATAAAGAAAGCTGCTCCTGTAGAGGACTGGGGTTCAGTTCCCAGTACCCATATGACAGCTAATAACTGCCTGTAAGTACAGTTCGGATGCCATCTTCTAGACTCTGAGTGCACCAGGCACGCATGTGATGCACATATATATATACAGACAGACAAAATATTCATACACCTAAAAAATAAAAAATAAATTAAGAGACAAAAGTAAGAACTAGAGAATAGTACTCAACTTCATATGGAAAAACAAAAAACCCAGGATAGCCAAAAGAAACCTGTACAATAAAACAACCTCTGGAGGCATCACAATCCCTGACTTCAAGCTCTACTATAGAGCTACAGTAATAAAAACAGCTTGGTATTGGCATAAAAACC